TTGATGATATTTTTGTTATGTGGAAGAGAGAGAAGGCAAAGGTCTCCCTACAATTCAAGTGTATAATTTTTTGTGGAATCCACCGGAGAGAGAAAAACCAAAGTCAGGCGCAAAGGCCGCGTATGCGGCATAGGCAGCACCGTCTCCACGCACCCGCTGGCGTGTTAACTACTTAGGGTTTTTTTTTTTTTTTTTTTTTTTTTTTTTTTTTTTTTTTTATTTCTCCTCTCTCCTCCCTCTCCTAAGTGGATCATCAAAAACCCTGAAAGACTAAACTGATGGTCGATAGAGATTTACTAAGAAAATTACAGACTTATAAACTTATTTTAAGCGAGCTCTCATTAGTTATTTCTCTCTTGACAAGATAAGACGGTTCCATATTCAACATAATTAATGTGTTCTTTTCGAGTGACTATTCCCCGTCTTAATAACCCAAAAGAAAACAAAAAGTAAACATTACCGTAAATCATGACATATACAATAAGTGCGAAATATGCACATATAATAATATTTTTATGATTAGACTATACATATGATATTATTTATAATTTGATATATATAGCACGGCAATACGTACCATGTGACACTGTGGTTACGTTAGACTAGGATTGGTTACACCTGCATATGATGAATGTAGCATGCCAAATAACTACTGTACAAGAACTTGAACCAAAAGGAAACTATGATTTGACACCAGCTTCAACTTACTTCAAACCTACGAATTAAAATTCACCTTTTATTTAGTTTTATTTTTTAATTTATTTTGATAACTCATATCTCTCAATTTCAATTCGCAAATGATATTTTAAATCCCATAAACTTGTTAGGAGGTCTATACTGTGAAGATGTAAATCAAGTTAATTTAATTTTAAGACAACACTAAATTAGACATTTTTGCGTACAAAATTAAAAGCTTAATGTGGGACAACCACAGTCAAATTGATTAGGATGTTGATTTAGTAAGCACAAGGTTATAAATTTGACAGTCTATTAGCCTTCTTAATTTGAACAAATCAGCTATGAATAGATAGGTTTACCTCTTTGTATAAATAGTTCTTTACCGCCAGTTAAGATTTATCCCGTATTCACCCTCAATAATGACTGATATTTTTATGGTCCTTTGCTGACTAAGGTAACAAGACGAGATTTACTGATGACGAAAAAAAAAAAAAAAAAAAAAAAAAAAAAAAAAAAAGGTTGACCTAAATACCCAATGCTTCTGCGTCTAATCTCTGGTTTACAGTTGTGTTAGTTAGCACCTGGTTTTGCTGTTTCTTTTTTGTTTGTTTGTTTTTTTTTTTTTTATAATGTAAATTTCAAGATTATTTCATCATTTGTCTTCACCCACCTTTAATCACTGTCTTCTATTTTCTCCGATCCTTCGTTTCTCCCCGGCCACATATCTCTCTTTTCCTCTTTTTTTTTTTTTTTTTTTCTTTAATGTTCTTTTAGCCAATAAATATAATACAACTTAATTATTATAAAGATAATAATGATATACATATGTTGGGTATTGAATTTTGGGTGCTAGAACTAAACACTAATAACGAAGAAAAATAATGATAATTAAAAATATTGTATTCGCAAAGTCTCTTTAATTTGATTACTGTGTTCGAGTGAAAATTTTTTTGTAAATGTAAAAAGTGTTATAATTTTGATATGACTGAAATTAAATGATTTCCCTTTTTGGGTGACTCATGCCAAGAGATCGAACATTATTTGACTTGACACTTACTCCTGTTCTAATATTGGTATGACGCATGTCTCAAGTAAGAGATTTTCTAATTAAGGGTCATGTCCCGGTGAGTTATAGAGTACTACCTGACTCAACACTTACTCCGTTGCTTCAATATTGAAGTTTCAGTATGCTGCATGTGTTCCTAGGTCTCTCTTGTGCTGTCAAGAGAGTGCTATCAGTTGACTTAATTGACACTTCCTCCGTTCCTAATATGAAAGTCTTAGTGCGACACATGTCTCGAGCAAGAAATTTCTCTAAGGCTCCTAGCTATGCCATATAAGAGAGTTTTATTTGACTTATAGCAACCAAAATAGTGGTTTTTGTTCAATTTTTGTGGAAGAAAAAAATTAGGAATTTGATTTTTACCTAATGGGAATGGGGGGCGAGTTTTTGGCTAGATTTTTCTCTTGCAAATATGATTTTTGGGTGGGATGTACTTTTTGGGAAAAGGGAAAAACTTACATAGATTATACCAGAATTTATTGCCCCCCTCCCCCTCTTTCTTCTTCTTAATTGCTTCTCTCTCCTACATGCCTTCAAAAAGCCCACAAAAATTCTACAACTATTGAGGTTTCTCTTATTACCACTTACTCTACTTCTAACTTTTATGTGCAACACATGTCCTAAGCAAGAAATTACTATGGTGCCACCTAGGGCTTAGTGTAGTGGTTTGTTGTTACTTGGTGTCACAACTGAATGTGACAGTATAAAGTTTGAATTTTACTAAAAACATGTGAAAAAATTGCAGGATTATGGAAGGTGTGGATTAGATTTCTTGTGTGCATGCATACAAAGACTAGGGTCTGACTAGTGGACTGATTGCGCTATTCACCATTTACCTCTTATAGATTTCTTGTGAACTTATGATTAACTTGATAAAGCTATACCAAGTGGCTTGTAGTCCACTGGTATCGGATTGCTCTCCTATGTGAGAGGTGTAGGTTTCGAGCCTCAGTGTAGGCATAGATTGTATGGGTATTCCGCTTCCTTTGTAATATATAAAAAAAAAAAAAACTTGATAAAGCTATGATCACCTCTTAAGTATTAAAATAAAATAAAAATTAGTACGGTCGGTTTTCACCAGCATTATCTTTAGCATGGGTGGTTGTGCCGGTAGCCACATATTTAATTATTTATAGCGTCATTAAGCATGTTTAAACATGATTAAGGATAACAACACGTTAATCCCACCCAAAAACAATAAAAATAAAAAATCAACTGCCCACTCCCACAAAGTCAATCTTCATCATCAAGTTTCGACCGACATTCTTGAATTCCCCATCTCTATTGTTCCGATGTTTTAATCAACAATAATCTTAACTTTCTCCACCCACAACGTAATTAACTCAAACATTCATTCTCTTTCTCTCTCTCTCTCTATATATATGGGGTCGTTGCGGGTTGTGGGTTTTGGTGTCCGGGGTGGGGAAGCGTGGGCACTCCGCCGCCGTGGTTTGGGTACGAGGAAGGGTACGGTGCAGATTTTTGGGAAGAAGGAAAAAGGGGACAGAATGGAAAACGTTGTGAAGGATGACAAAATATATAGCTTAGGTATAGTAGGCAATAATGGAACACAAAAATGGAGGAAAAAGAAAAAGGGAAAAAGGAGGCAAGTGGGAGGGGGTAGGGTATGCGGATGCATGTGCGATCATATGGTGGTTGGCCCTTTTCTAGGCCCACACCACAAAACACTTCTCTCTCTCTCATCTCTCTCTCTCCTTTCTCTATCTCTATACCAATACAAAATATATATAATGTATTTCTTTACCTAGCTAGTAGTTCTTGTATAATGTATTTGACAAGTGTGGAGAGATAATATAATGTATTCTCAATATGTCATAGAGTAACGTTTTTGAGAGAATTGTTTTAGAACAGAGTTTAACGATGAATCTATGTGTATTGTTTCGTAATGTTGAGTAATTAATAGTACGTATAAATTGGACTGATGGCTAAGGGTTTGAGTTTACAATATATTAACCACAACATTTCTAGGCTTAGGTCGATCATTAACTTAGTATGACTTTCTTCCAATTAACCGCACTTGATTATATTGGTTCAATCTTGCAAAACGATGATCTCTTAGACCCTGATCCACATGGTCTACTTTGAATTATTAAACCAATTGAATTACCATTCAACTTTATTAACGTAAGACTTCAAGACCCGAATACCACCCTGTGTATCTATAACTTTGAGTTAAAATATATTATGTCCAATTCTAATAGTTTAAATGTATGAAGTTATTACTAATACCAAACTGTTAGTATCTAGTAATTTGTTTTTATTAATTTGATTTTTATTCTAAAGTATTTTATTTGTATATTGGTCTAAGCAAACCATTATATTCTTATTGTTCCTCTTCTTACAGGCCAGGTCGATTATATTGTAATTTTGTGAAAAAGTAATTATGTGTGAATAATATAGTGATTCAAATTCTATTGTTTGGTAAATATGAATAAAATTATTGAAAATTTCAATTATAGTATAAGTTATTAGGGAGGACAATTTGATCCTCACACTCCAAACTAATTTCTTCCCATGTATTATGGAATTGCAATTCCTATACGAGAGATTGGGAGGTGAGATTTGCATTTTAGTTTTCTTTTCCTTTTTAATTTGGTTATAACTCCACACTATACATATATATATGGTACTTGTTTCATCTGATCTATTTATAAGACTCAAATAAATAATTATTCTCATATATGACGGTCAGTTCTTGCTAACACCATCTCGATTGAACCTTTCGCATAGATCTTTTCAGTGTTGTTTATCTCTCATGTATAGCTTATAGGCTATTACAAAATACACACGATGCACCTTGAGGTCATGTGTTTAGCTCTTACCAACACCCTTTTTATCGAATATGTTGCATAAGTTTTCCTAGACGATTTACCTCGTGCGTGTAGTTTGTGAATTATAACACAAAGTATACAAAATTTACATCCAATATTTGATATTCATATACATATCACGTATAATAATTTATAAAACCTACTACTTTCTTTTTTGGTGTACCCAGAGTTTTCGCTGTCGACGGACACAACTGTCTAGAGATTTAATGCTGCTCTATAGACAAAAACAAAAATCAAACTCTTGACATTTAGTTAAGAATGAATGAGTCATTTTCACTGGATCAGCATTGAAAACCTACTACTTTGTTTATAGTTATACTAGAGTAATTACTAAGCACACAATAAAGATGGATTCTCAAAGAACCAACCCACCCACCCACCCACTCCCAACCATCCACCCTTACCTTACCCATCGTCTAATCTATCTCCCATTTTCAATCCTTTGCGGCTTCTCTTTTCTTTCTTATATTCTCTCCTTTTTCTTCATTCCATTCATGTACACGTTTGATTCTTGAATTGAAATCTCTCTCTCCTCTCTCTCTCTTCTTTCTCTGTAGAACATCAGAACATGTTTATGTTTTATAAGTAGATCCTGTGTCAGAAGTTGTCAGAAACTGAGGTTTTTGCTTTTGTCCTAGCGAAGGCCGGCCCCCTTCGTGTCAGAACAAGATCTTTTTATCTGTTTTTGTTCATCTCTCTCTCTTCTCCTCTCTCTCTCTCTCTCTCTTGTTTATATATCCCTCCACCAATTCAAACCCTAAAAACCCCGCAACCATTAATTGCAAAGCTCAAGCTCCGGCCGGCCATGGCGTCTCCCCACCACTTACCCTTAAAGCGCGCCTCCGTCAAAACCCGCTTCGCCCGCACCTTCCTCCGGGCACTGCACAACCTCAACGCCGGCGCCGCCGCGCAGGAGCGCCGCAGACGGTGCCGGAAGATAAAGCTCGCCGCCTACGCCTCCATGGCCTCCGCCGTCGGGCCGCGGCGCGCCTGGAGCCGCGCCCTGCTCTGGAGGATCCGTTCCCGCGCCTCCCTGCGCCGAATTCCGGCCGCCCAGAGAAGTAACCATCACCGCCGCAAGACCCCGCCGCCGCGGCCGCGCCGTCCGAGGAGATCGAGAAACGACGTAGTACGAGGTGGTCGTTTGGATTCCGACAAGGCTAAAGAGCTCCGGAAGCTCGTTCCCGGCGGCAAAGCCATGGATTTGTGCTGCTTGCTGGATGAAACTGCGCATTACATAAAGTGCCTTTCGTCGCAGGTAGAAATCATGAGAAACATTGCCGATCTTTTCTCAACCTAAACCAAAACAAAAAAAAAAAAATCAATTAAAATATTATATTTTTAGCATATAAATATATAAATATTATGGTGTGTATGTCTCAGGGGTAATTAATAAATTAAGCAATATTATTATTATTATTATTAAATTAAAATCGAGGAAATAATACCACTGTAATTATATAAATATGCGGCATATTTATATATATTTGTGTTGATGAAAATTTACTTTTAGTTTCATTTTCAATTTCATTTGTACAGAAGCTTTAAATTCTACCATATATGAGAAACTACTCTCTCCTCTTCATCTCTCTTTCTCTTTAATTTCTTTCTGTTGAGAAGCAAGAAAGAAGGGTTTTGATTTTTTTATGTTTTATTTCGGGAGTAAGGAATCTGGATGATCTATAGTGCTCGATCTCAAGATCTTAGGCGATTTAAATTTTTATGTATTTTATAATTTGATACATCCAAGAGTCGAGATATATATATAATTTATAGGGCGCGATTTTAAGAGTTTGGGTATTTTAAATCTTTATATATTTTATAATTTGGTATATCTAAGAGTCGAGATATATAATTTATAATACACAATTATAAGATTTTGGGTCTTTTGAATTTTTATATATTTTATAACTTGGTACACTTAAGAGTTGAGAAAATCTATAGTGCTTGATCACAAGATTTACATGTTTTGAATTTTGATATAGTTTATTTATTTGGAAATTTAATTCTAAAAAGCTGGGATTATCTATAGTGCTTGATCATCAGATTCTGGGTGCTTTAAATTTTTATATATTTTGCAATTTAGTACACCGATACGGGTTCAAATAAAAGACAGGATTTTTCGTGCGGTTGGCGTGGATTGCACTATTAGGTATGCATAAATGTAGCACATCTAATGGTACATTTTTGAACACTTTGTGGTGCATTTATGCGTACTTAATGGTGCGTGGCCACATGAACAACACTGTCCGCACGAATACCTCCTTGAAATTGGGATAATCTATACTGCTAGACAACAAAATTTTGGGTGTTCTAACTTTTTTATAGGAATTATTGAGAATTATACAAGAAATTATGGAGAATTTTGACATTGGGATTAGATTAATTAATGATGTTTGGTTCATTGGAAAACATGTGGTATCAACTGGATAATATATACAATTAGAAGTGCATAATAATTATGTTTTGTAAAAAGAATTACTTTTTTAAAAATTTATTATCATTATTATTATTTTGTAATCTTGACAAGCACTTCTTCATATCATATATAGTTTTTAATTATAAGATTATTTATTTAAATGTTTAATTATAAGATTACCAATAAAAAATGTATTTAGAAAAGAACAAAGTCCCATACAACTGGAGAGCTGTCAAAGATTCCTTCTGGAAAAGAATCTTTCATTTTCTGATCCATACAAATAGGAATCTTAGCTTATATATACAACAAACACAACCTTAAACACTAGGATTGCTAGAAAATGTTCATATTTATGTTGTTGGGGTTAAATTATTTACTTTAATTTTTCTATATTTTTGAAATAATGGGGATTCTTAACTCAAAAATTTTAAATTATTATTGTGCTATTTTTCATTCTTTAAAAAAGTTGATTGTAAAATAAGTAATATATAGTTAATGTATAATAGTATAAACATAATTATATTATTTATATATATTTTTAACAAATTTAATTTAAAGAAATATAATCAATTTCACCACTAAAAGAAAATGCATAGGACAATTGAAGTGTGATGAAGGGATTAGCAACAAGAGTATACATGACACTAGCTCTCACGAACTGTCAAGTATAACATCCAACAATTGAAATGCAGTAGTAGGTGTTGCGTAAGGAAATAAATTATATATTTATTATTAATTATAACTTTTGGCATAGTGGTAATAGTTTAATATATTCTAAGAATGACACAGTTGCTAGAAGTTTTGTCAAGTAATTAATAGTTAAATAAAATCGAACCTCGAACAATTTCGAATATAGGATATTGTAGTTCCTCAAAAAAGGTATGTATCCTAATTATTTGTCTCAGTACATTGGTCTAGTGGATTTTAAGTGTCATTTAAAGTTTGATTCTAATAATAGGGTAAGAATTTGATTTCTGCCACGAACAATCTAGTATATGTTCGAATTTAAAAAAAGAAAAAAAAAAAGCATTGTATACTCATTTGTATATACATATTGTATATATGTGTGTGTATACAGACTGTATATATGAATATGATGTGTTAAAAGGGTTGCTGAGTGATGCTTGATCTGCAAACAATCATTTCAATTTGATTGCAAGTCTCCATACGAAAACAAGCAAAGAAATCAGATTCTGATTTGATGGGAAGATCGAACACACATGACTTTAGTCTATTGATTTTTCTTGATTTATGACATGCATGATATGCACTTTGATTTTGAGATATATATATATATATATATATATATATATATATATATATATATATATATATATACACACACACACACATATTGCTTAAATATTTGGCAGTTCATCTTGGTCACAATCATCACTATACGTACTGTAGATGATGGATGAGAATTTTTTTGGACTGAGTTTAAACGGGTTAAAGAAAAACTGAATGAATTTTTGCTCATTTAAATCGATTGATTTGTTCTGAGAGAGGGAACTGCGTGAGAGGAGCATTATTCTCGTACCAAATGTCACGGATCTAATTCTTGTCAATACACTTTCAATCGAGTCTATCACATATATATAATTTTTCTAGTACGAATTACCTCTAATAGATTTGCACTCTATTCTATATATTATATATGCCTAAGATTTACCCATTGATGCAATGAGATATTAATGGCCCTGTTTGGTAAAATGACTGTTAGCTGATAGCTGTTAGTTGTTAGCTGATTGTGTTAATTAGAGGGTATAAATAATTGATAACATCAGCTGATTGTAGAAAAGTGTTTGGTAAATTAGCTGTTAGTTGTTAGCTGTTTGGTATAATTTGTTTTATCAAAAAGCTAATTGAAAAAGTTGTTTGGGGTAGCTTTTTCAATTTTAGCCTTTTGGAGTTGTTAAAAGCTAATTAACCAAACATTTATATTGATATTTTAACTAAATCAAACAATTAATAGTGGTCAAATAAGCCAAAATTAACCTATAGGCCAACTTTTTACCAAACAGGGCCATTGTCTTCACATTATCTCCGTTACACCCAATATAGCACCAAAATAAATAAATAAATAAATAAAAATTGAATTGTATCAGGTGTAACCAGCACCAATACAACATAGCTTTTTTTCCAAATAAATATTATGGATTATATGATCTTTTGAATTTGAAAAAAAAAAACATAGCGTTGAATGATTTTATTTTTCTATTTCTTGGTACATCTTAAGTTATTTCGAATCAAATTTATCTATAAAATCATAGACATATGTTGCTCAATAACAATTTTTTTTTTTTTTTTTTACTTTTATAATCTATTCTTGACACATTAATTTTGTTTGACCTTTTATAAATTTTAGCTAATAAAAGTTCAATATATGTAAAGTAAAGCGAGTAAACTATCAAGCTAAAATATAAATTGACAAAATTATCACTTCTAATAAGACTCATGTCATCCAAACTATAGGATTATAGACTATGTAAACTTAAAATGGTCATGAGCCATGATATGTAAACTCAAAATCAGTGATTGAGTGAATGACGTATAATTCTATATTACAAAGTTATGAATTTGATTATTGGATAATGGCTGATTTATTTATTTATTTATTTTTTAAATATGAAATTAGGGATTGGTTGTGAGAGATAGAGATGTTTGTGTTGATGAAGAGAAGGCTTGGGGACCGGCCAGGGAAAGCAAACAAGGTGTTCAATTACTGTTTTGTCGATCATTCGAATTGACTACTTTCACGTACCACCACATTAATCTCTGCGTTGTCGGCCGCCCTATATATATATATATATATATATATATATATATATATATATAATAATTAGGTTCGGTGCAGTTGACAGTCTCATATTGCGGTTGTACGGAGAGAGGGGAGTCATTGATTTTGTTTAGATCAACGTCCAGGATTACAGAAATTTTTTTTGAAAAAAAAACCATAGCAATTTGGTAATTTTTGTAACTATGTCAAATTTAAGGTGCGTGTACTTAATGTGCGTCGTGTTTCTTCTTCGCGCACCTTCTCTGTGAGTCACGGGTAGTTCAGACCCTCAAGAAGAAGAAAACTTTTGAACTGATGGGTGATTCAGACCCACAAGAACAAAACTTAAGGTGCGTGAGTTTTGTATTTAAGGTGCGTGAGTTTTGTGCTTAATGTGCGTGTGTCTTGTGCTTAATGTGAGTGTGTTTTTTGCTTAATGTGCGTCATGTTTCTTCTTCGCGCACCTTCTCTGAGAGACAAAAAAACTTTTGAACTGATGGGTGGTTCAGACCCGCAAGAACAAAACTTTTGAATAAAACTTTCTTCGAGACAAGCGTTTTTAAAAAAAAATGCTTAACGTGCGTCAACCGCAGGGAAAGCTTTTACCGCATCTGAGCCCTTCCCTATATATATAACTTTTGTGTTTATCCTATTACACAACTTTTCAGCACTTACAATATGACATTACTAATTCTATCAATCTTAAATGAGGTATGTATATGCAATATGCTCAGGTCGGGGATTTAGTTTTCTCATTAAATTCCGAGATATGAAAGTTGATTAACCATTGTGACGGATGGGGAGTAGTATATATTAGCAGCTGTGTTTGACCATAACCCATAAGCTTCATGCTAAATTGTGCATTTTTTAAAATGATATATGCCTTTATTTTGAGATGACGAGAGAAACTCATAGACCGCAACTACTATCCAATAGTTTATACACTAGGTCAACTGCAAACCCCAGTATTGTTTGGTTAACTGGAAGTTTGTTGGCATGATAACGAGTGGTAATTTGACAGACTCATATGTACTGTTGGGCGGAGCTTGCAGAGGTTTTGAGAGGCGAATTTAGCTTCCTCACATTGAAACGTAACGTTGACTGTTATACAAGTACAAATAAAGTTGTGCTTTCATTCTTAGCTGTATTATTTTTGATGTAATAGTAAGCGGAGAAGCTACATGCACCATATTAAAAAGTTCTAAATTATGTTTTCTTGAATGAGACTCAACTCTGCAAAAACGTTTCGAGCCAAATCTGAATTAATCTCACAATATTGAAGATACCAAATGCAAATTAAAAAGTTTACAATCATGAGTTCAATTAAACTTGTCTGAGCCCAAAAGTATAATAAACACAACAGGCTTCCACAATGGGAGCCAACAGCCCATAACCAATTAACCATAACCAGCCATGCCCAAATCCTATAAGGTGAAACAATCAACCAAATGAGCAATTGAAAAAATCGTTAAGCACTTAGGGACCGCCTAGAGTGTAGAGTGCTTAGGTGACCGACCGCTTAGCGCCTAAGTATTGATTAATTGGCGTTTAGGCATGATTTTTACAACACTGAGCAATACAATCATCCAATGGTGCAAAGAAAAAGATACACTTGGGACAATCCAACCAACTTAGTTAAATTGTTAGCTTAGTAACTACAAAATTTTAAGTTCAACTCTCAGTGAAAACAACCTATTAGCTTTAGTATCATAGACAACCAAAGCAGAATTTACGCAGTGTACACTCTCAGAATCGTAGACAACCAAAACAGAATTTACGCAGTGCACACCCTCAGAATCGTAAACAACCAAAACGGAAATTACACAGTACACACCCTCAAAAGTGACATTTACACAGTGCACACTCTCAGAAAGTGACTGCAAATTTCCCTCGTCAGCAAAAAGAAGAAGTTGCATTCAAAGCCATATCTGGTAAATCTAATATACATCACATTCCTAAACTCATACAGCCATACATGATTTATACAACAAAATTACACCTCAGGCTAAGAGAAATATGCACAGAACAGCCACCAACTAGTCATTGCTGTCCAACATGTTCATCTTCTAAGCTATTCTCCTCTACAAGTTATGCTGCTTACTAGTTATTGATCTCTTCAGAAAGACGAAGGGGCCGGGCTTGTGTCGATTTACCAGAGAGGCCAAGTCTCGGATACGATATCCACTTCCCCAGAAAGCGGCTAGACAGAGGCCCATAATAGCCATCGCGATGACTGAGCATGCTGAGGGAACGGCTTGAGTGCTCCCGAGGAACTGAGTAGCAAGCAGCCCCGCCAAAGTCGAGCTCTGCATCCCTGTGCATAACGCGATTGTCCTGCAGCTCCCTTCATTGAACCTGCCACCGTAACAAATGTTAGCACAAAATTCAAGAACAGAGAGGAAATGCACCCATTAAGTGGATTAAAATTTATCCCCAATTACCTAAAAATTGGAAATTTGGGAATCCAATAACCTAAGGTGAATGCCGCGGCATGGAAAGCCAAAATGGGACCGAGCAATTTCGCGCCTTCAGTGGAAAGAATTTGAGCCCGGTTTATGGCGAGAGGGCTGCCAATGCACATCGATGTGCACGCCATTGCCACGACTGGCATCACGGGTTGAATAACCGAGACAACCGGTTTAGCATAGGTGTTCAGGACTAAGCCCAGAGTAACGGGCACAAGAACAACCTGCAATATAGACTTTGACATGGCAACCGCATCGATGGGAACAACAGAGCCAACGAGAAGGCCCGTTAGCAGTGGAGTGACGAGAACCGACGCAATGGTAGTTGAGCTCGTCAACAGTATACTGAAGGCCACATCGCTTTTGCTCAAGAAACTCGCATAGCTCGATAACTGAGCTCCCGCAACACAAGACGTGAGAACGAAACCAGCGTAGAACATTTTAGGCATCCCGAACGCCCGTGCCACCAGCACACCGAGCACTGGCTTTACAATATATTGTGCAATGAATCCAATCGACAATGCCACAGGTCTGCAGCCAACAAAGTAGAGAGAATTCGATAAACAAATTCAATCCATTTCGATATTCAACGTGATAAAAATGTCACGAGATTCGCAAATCGCAACCTTTTAAAGGCTAGAGCAAAATCATCAATGGAAAGCCGGATTCCAATAGACAACATGATTCCTCCAAGTGCAGGAGCATACAATTCCTTTGACACCCTGCAAGTCCCTCTTTACATTAACACAAATCAAGAATCACAAAAACTTCAAAATTGAAAATAGCATCAACCAATCTTTTTCCATTAAGAATGCAACCAGCTAGAGAGCTCAAGGGAAGGTATTAAACTAAATAATCTAAAAAATTTCAGCTCAATTAGTACTAACATAAATTACAACCAACACATGCCATTCCAGCCAAGTTGATCAACCTATTGGTTTAGTAACTACAACATTCCATGTTCGACTCCCAATGGAAGTGGTCTATTGACTAGATTCCCTTGTGGTCCCGACTAGAATCGAGATGCAGGTTTACCCAATGCACACCCTCCGAGTCTATGGATTTTGTCCTTGTGGTCCCCACTAGGGTCACCACCTGAGTTTACCCAATACACAAGCCAGGCAGTCTGAACAATGACTGCGGATTTCCCTCGTCACCCAAAAAGGTAGTAGATAATTCCCAACCTTGAAATCCTTTCATACATATAACCCACATGGGCAGCTTTGGTCACAAGTTGGTCACAAGAGTGAAATTTGGAAAAAATGACCAGGGATCGAGCTTCATCGGCGAAGTGTGGGGCAACCTCTCAAAGTGTGTTCAAATGAGTTACCATGATTTACATATTCCCAGATATGCTGTGTGAGGGCCCTTGGGTTGGGGATTCAACCTTTTTGGAAGAAAGAACAACATACCAAATTGAAAAATTACTTGCAAAGATGAAAACTTTGAAATGGCATCAATGAGAACCAAAGATTAATAGCCCAGGGTTTAAGCATAGAACACAGAAATGCATGTATTTCACTATTAACTACAATGGCAGTCAACATATTAGCCCTCTCAACTTCAAAAATCAAAACGAATGAACTGAAAATCATAAATACCAAGAAAAAGTGGCGGGCTGAGAAAGGGCGGCAATGGAAGTGAGCGCGACAACAAAGGGAAGCAATGCCGACAACACTTGGGAAACATCGGCCTTCTTTTCGACCTCCACCGCTACAGTTGTTCTACGGCGGCTTTCTCCGAACAACAGCAAAGACAAATTCCCTTCTCTTCTGTGCCACCCGACTTTCCCAAACAGCGGCGAGGAAGTAGAACATGCAACCGCCACCAACGCGCCGCCTCTGAAGTTTCGAGAGAATTCCGGTGCTTGGGAGCAGCAAAAAGGTCTCTTTTTCAGGGCGTTGAGGGGAATCTTAGGTCTGGGGTTGTTCCGGTAGGGTTTGAGGGACAGTGATAGGGACTTCGATGGAATTACAGACATTTCCGGGGATAAATATGTACAGACTATGAGTTCTGCCCTCGCCGGAAAAAAGATGATATTTTCCGGCCGGTGAAGAAAGAAAGGAAAAAAGAAGAAGAAGCAGAGTGGGGAGATGACCGGAGACAAAAGCAACAAATTAGGGGGAAGTATTTGCAGGGATACCCTCAAATTTATCTAAAATTCCATTTGTGAATGAAAAGTTTTTATATATTAATTCATATATATATATATTGATTGTTTCCTTATTGATTACTCCGTCCTAGAAGATGACAAACAACCTTTTTGCATGCAACTAACGATGCATGAGGTTGCCAAGTGTTCCACTCTCCTACAATATTCTACACATTTCTTCAATACACCTACTCCTTTGACTTTTTTATTTGATCCAGATAATATTGTGTGGACCATGATTATCAAAAAAATTGTAGTATAATTAAAATGAGATTTTAATGTTGTTATAATGAAACTAGTGTGTGTGAAAAATGAAACAAATTCAGAATCATACAATAACAGGTATTGTCAAATGAACATTGAGTGTAATTAAAATAATATTTAACATTATTATAATTAAACTAGTGTGTGAAAAATGAAACTACAAAATAGAGCTCATGTAATAATATATGTTGTCAAATAAAGCTATAATAAAATTAAAATGATATTTTAATATTATTATAATAAAATTAGGGTGTGGAAAATAAAACTGAAAACACAGTAATATTTTCAATAAAACTAAAATGTTATTAAAATCATACTTCACGCTGCTACATGAACCATGCTCCAAGTATAATTTGTCGGGATAAAGTACAAATAAGCCACTGAACTATTTGGGAAAAAGCAATTAAGCCATCGAACTCAAATAATCCCCAAATAAGCCACTGAACCCGGAAAAAGGAGCAAATAAGCCATTGAACCCTGAAAAAGAGAGCAATTAACATTTTTTACAGGTTAACTCCAGATTTTTGCTGATTGGATTGTCAAATGTTTATTTTATTTGCATTTATTTTTTTATTAATATTATCCACTTAGATTGTATTATATTTTAAAGTAATTATAATCAAAATAGTTTTGTCTTGTCCAGATTTGATTTGTTTGTTTATTATTATTTTTTATTGGATCTTTTGTTTAAAAAATAATAATAAATAAATAAATTAGATCTAGACAAGACAAAACTACTTTGATTATAATTACTTTAAAATATATTACTATGTGGGTGGATATAATAAAAAAAATGGTAAATAAAATAAACATTTGACAATTCGATCAGCAAAAACCTAGAGTTAACTTGTTAAAAATGTTAATTGCTCTTTTTTTTCCGGATTCAGTGACTTATTTGGGGGTTATTTGAGTTTGATGGCTTAATTGCTTTTTTCCAAATAATTCAGTGACTTATTTGTACTTTACACTCATAAGGGGATGTCAATGTGGCAAAAATCCACAAATCAATTCTAACTTGCCTCAAGGGGTTAGGACCAAAAACCATTAGGCCCACGAAGAAGTAGGCCTCATAAGTCATAACTCTACTTGCAAGTTAACATTAAAATATATATATATATATATATATATATATATATATATATATATATATATAGAAAAGTTAATAAAAGCAACTTCATTTGTTTGGTTTTTGCAGGGAAAGACATGGGAGAGAGAAGATGAAAAAGAGGGGGGAGGGGGGTGAAGGGGAAGATTCTGAGAGCAAAAAGTTATAAAAAAAATTAATTAATTTACGCGTCTAGTTTGAGCGTGTAGTATACGATCGTAATTTGCACAATGTCTTTTCTTCTTTTCTTCAATAAATGAATTCCACAAAAAATTGTGATTTGCAGAGAAAAAAAACTCCAAAAATTATACTTCCCATTTGTTTAAAAACCAGCCCATGAATTCTTTTCTTTTCTACAAAAACTCCCTCAAAAATCCACAAATGTGAATATGTGATTGCTCTAAAAGGAAAGATTGTAAACTTGTTTTTATACTTGTATACTTTTGAAATATCTATACTTCTTAAAGTGCATCATTCATTATTATTTATTATATAATGTAAATTAAAAGGTTGTCCATTGAGGTGGATGAGAACTTATAGCTAATTTTTAAACTTATTTTCCGTGAATCAAATGGAGGTTATAATGTTGTAGGTAACATAACTAAAACCTTAAACTTGTAATAGACATAAAAATATATATTATATCAAGTAATGCAAAATGTTGAAATTAGAACCAAACAATGTCATAACTTATCATATCATGTGCATTATAAAATTGTACATAATAACATAAGTTAGACCAAGTTATAGAAGTCTAGAGTTACACTAATATATTAATAAGTCAATAACAAGTCATTCAGTTTGTCTAGTGTAGACTAGACCTATCTGAGTAAATGAGTAACTATCATTGTAAGAATACAAGTGAATATGAGTGAATCAAAAGTAGAAAATGGCTCTTTTAAGTGGGCAGGGAAGTCTATTTATACTTGCAACCCAACCCAATGCAATGATGGCATTTTCAATTGTATTGTGAACACTAATATAAAAATTTTATACTTTCAGTTAACACATTCAATAACTTGATAATTACTGACACATAATATGATAGTTACAGGTGCAGAAACTATCAACTGCAGGTACAAAATGTGTCAACTATATACAGAATCTAAAGGTTACATAATATGATAGTTATAGATACAGAAACTATAATTGGAGGTACAGAATGTTCAACTACAGATACAAAGACCTTGGTCCATGGTACAATTTACCGCGCATTTTTATTAATGGAGGTAGGCAATTGGATATGTAGAATTCTTATTAATTCAAGGAAAAATACTTTCCACAACATATATAACTATATCTGACACAAAAGACTGGAAACCATAAAAATTCTATTTATAGCATTGATCTTCAACAATATCATTATCCAATTTTCTTGAGTCCAAAGAAAAAGAAAATGAAAAGGGCAGCCATGTTAATTGCCAAGGAAGGGTTGTAGCATGTAGACAAATTGGGTGAGAAAGAAATCCATCAAAGTTTCCCAAAAATAAATAAATAAATAAAAATCCATAAAAAAGACAAGAGGGGGGGGAGGGGGGGGGGGGGGGTTGATAGCTTTAGCTTCCCCAATGACAATTTGGCATTTAATTCAAATTTCCAGTCCACCTGACCATCATTTGTCATCTAACTACAAATTGCTTCCTCATGTGCTTTCCCCATATACAGATAAATTTGTGTGTCATGTCATGTCAAACATCATCAAACAAGTACCATCAGGTGATACATACACTCAATATGTATAATAATGAACAAAACCAAAAAGCATTTTCATACCGAATAATACTACATGCACTCTCACTTTTTTCCGTTCTGTTCAGATAATATGTTCGGATTGGTTCAAAACGAAATATGACCTATAGTTTTCGTTCATTTTCTTTTCTTTCTCCAATCAAATTAGGGCATGTGGGAGAAGTTGCACTTGTAAGAGTTAAAGAAAGGAACATGGGGTTGCCAGCTACAACACACTTCATTTGATATGAATGCAGATGCACACCAAACATGAGAAAATGGTAGTCAAGAATTTAGATGAATGATAAGAGTGAAAGACACCCACAATCTCATGTGCTGTGCCAGCCAGAAATTGCACTAATCCAACTGGCCTACCAAAGCTTAGCAGCCATTGTTATGGAGTTTTTTGCTTTATAGGAAGTGTGAGAATTCAAACTTGAGGCCACAACTATGCACCACAAGAATCAAGGGATCAAGAAACAATGTATGTAATAGTTGAAATGTGAAGTGAATCTGCAGAATATGAAGAAAATGGCATATCAAACATGGTGGCAGTATTTTGAGTTACGTTGGGAAACCCGCAGCCATTATCCAAGAGACTGGATAAACCCCGCCTTGTGATCCTAGCCGGCAAAGGACCACAAAGAGGTAAACCAGCCTAGGTTGCCCATAGCTGACCGGCTCAAACTAAGAAGGCCAATAGGCCACCCCCATTGGCAGTATTGAGTTACGGAGGGAAACCCGCAGCCACTATCCAAGAGACTGGGTAAACCCCGCCTTGTGACTCTAGCCGGCAAAGGACCACAAAGAGGTAAACCAGCCTAGGTTGCCCATAGCTGACCGGCTCAAACCAAGAAGGCCAATAGGTCACTCCCATTGGCAGTATTTTGAGTTACGGAGGGAAACCCGCAGCCACTATCCAAGAGACTGGGTAAACCCCGCCTTGTGACTCTAGCCGGCAAAGGACCACAAAGAGGTAAACCAGCTTAGGTTGCCCATAGCTGACCGGCTCGAACCAAGAAGGCCAATAGGCCACTCCCATTGGGAGTATTTGTTTACTCCCACCAACCTAAACAAAACAAGTTAATGGACCATAGCATTCAGCCTATTCAAGTTTCAAATCAAGATTGCAGGCAAGGAATAGGGACAAATATACAAGAATATAAACCAAATTGATGTTTTTCTTTATTTCAATAACTATATCTTCTTCCTCAACTACAAAAGGGTAATCCATTAACAACCACATTATGTCCATATTTAACAAATAAAACAAAGAAACAAACCTCTTTTTTTTGTTCTGCAAATTTACCAACTGATCACTTTACTCAGATGTCCTTGTTTTCACTATCTCCCCTGCCTCTCCATGCACTACAACACACTACATGACTCTGGCATTTCCCTTCCATTCACATTCTCCCCCTTTCTGTTTCATTCATTGGTGACAACAATCTTGAAGACTCGAGCCGGCATATGACTACTTTGCAGACTATGCACTATACACAAAAACCACAAGCAAGCAAGCACACCCAAATGCAGCGTATGGACCTGCTAAACCTGAACTTCTGCCAGACAAGTAGAAACAAGGAATAACAGAAGAACCATTGACTCAGAACTGAGCTATTGTGAAATTTGAACTATCCCCATCTCTGAATTCTACAAAACCGCCCTGCTACTATCTGTGTGTTCAACCTTGTATTGGAGCTCCCCAACCCCAAATGTATTCTGCTCATAACCAAACAACCAAAATCACATCAGTAAAGAGCACATCCCCCATCAACCAACACCATGAATCATACAGATCCTTATAATTTATAAACACAAATTAAACAAAAAAGACTGGTTCTTGATATTCTGCACCACCAAGAACTAATCACAACTTATAGAAATAATCAACTTTCACCAACATCAAAACATACATTTCCAAAAGTAGAACAAATTGAATGTTGCAGCCCAGTTATTCAATGTACAATTGAAGATGGGATTTTTTATATGAAGCAGAAATTGGGAACAACTTTTTTTGTTTTTTTTTTCCATTTCAATTGATTGGCACCACTGCAATACAACAAAATCAAAGAATGAGGGATCAAGAAAAAGAAAAAGAAAAGACCTTTGAAGCAGATTCCGCTATGTGCTGCCCATCCCCGAGATCAGTAAGCTGAACAGCAACACAATCTCTGGGAGTCTCGAAGGAGGACAAAGAGAACTGCTTGGACACCACGCCAACATCGAAGTAAATCAACCCGGAGCTGGGCACATCGACCCGGATTTCCTTAACCGGGAACCACAGGAACAAATCCTGCGCCGAAATCCCGGACAGCCCGCCGATCAACCCGTAACTGAGAGTCCCGGAAACGTTCATATCGTAGTGAATTTCGTTCTCGAACTTGGCATTACAGGCCTGATCCAAATGGACAACGAATTTGCCGGAGTTGTCGAGCGTGAAGTTCGTCACCCCCTTCGGCAGCAGCCCCATGGGCAGCCCGTGGGCCTTCAGCACCTCGTATATAGACGACTCGCACACCGCTAAACACGAGAGACAGCACAGGAGAACGGAGAGGCACAGACCCAAACCCGCGGGAAGGTGGAGTGACGTGGGCAGCATGGTTTTTGTCTCGGGTCGGGTCAAAACATAGGAGTTCTTTGGGGGTGGTGGTTTAGAGAGAGAAAATCAAGGCTAGGGTTTAAGAAGAGTTGAAGAGAGAGAAAAATGGCTACAACAGAGTTAGAGATGAATAGAAGAAGAAGAAGAAGAAGACACAGAGGAAGAGAGAGAGAGAGAGAGTATGCCAGCGAGAATACAGATAGGATTAGGAGAATGATCAATTATTGGTGACGAGTGTGTGGGACACTGGGACCCGCAATATTGTATCGCCGAAATTATATATTTTTTATTTATTAATTATATTACCATTTCATAATTCATATGAAATAGTTAAATCACGATAATTCAATGACCATCCAGGTGAGAGAATTAATACCTAGTGTAAATGCCTCAATGTATTGATATATATTATGTGAAAGGGCACTGAGTCAAACCTTGCCATGAGTAAGAGTCAAACCTCGTAGATATGACTCATGTAGAACTCGAATTGTCTCGCAACAGTCAAGTATGGAATGTTATATGAAAAAAGAAAATTGACTTTTTTAGTTTATTAGTTATGACTCTATTGTAAGTTTAATTCTTCACCTATTTGCGATGCATATGTACTCCTTCAATTATTATCAAAGTAACGAATTTGATATCTTATGACCAAAGTATTCATGTTATTAATCAACATATTGGTGGTGAATTTCATCTTTGAAAAACTCGAATCTATCATTTTTTATAATAATTAAATGACTAAATTTACACTTCAAATGTTTCAAAAAAATCTACACTTCAAATAAATAAATGATTGAACATGCACTTCGGTCACAAAGAGACTAAAAATGTAATTTTCAAATAAAATCATAATGCAATTATTAATTAATAAATAAATAAAAAGCGCCGCACTATTCATTAACCAACTATAACAGGCGTATGGTTGGAGGGAGGGAATTATGTGGGAAAAGAATTGTAATTCAATGGGAGTTGAATTACTGGGAATAAAGTGGGAATTTAAATTCCAGTGTTTGGTTGACATGAATAGAATTACTGGGAATTTCAATTCCAATGTTTGGTATACATGGGAATTGAAAGGGAATAAGTAGTATAAAGTCAAAAATGTCCATTATTGTTGTTAGACATTAATTTTAAGTTAAAAAAGGAAGGGGTAATTTTGACTCATCACTATCTTTTTTTTCCCAGGAATTAAAATACCGGGGGGACATGGGATTTTAATTCCATGAAAATGGGGGAATTGCAATTCCCTCCAACCAAACTACGGAATTTAATGGCCTTTGAAATTAGGTGGGAATTAAGTGGGAAGGGAATTTAAAATCCCTCCAACCAAATGCCCTGTAAATTTGTAAGGAAAACAATATTTATATTAATTATTATTTACTAAATATATCAATATCAATTATATTTAATATTGAAAATGATGTACAATGTGTGTGTATATGTATATATATACTGGTTCAAATGTGGTGTCATGTTCTCGTGTGGCCGTGCGAATTGCACAAATGCATCACAAAAAACACCACAACTCCGAGACATGCGATCATGCACCATTAGATATGCATAAATGTAAAGTGTTCAAAATTGCACTAGGGTGAAATGCATAAATGTATCACAAAAATGCACCACCTTAATGCATTTATGAACACGTGATAGTATATTCTTGCATACCTAGTGATGCATGACCGTACATCCGCACATGAAGGTTTGTCTGTACAGGAACCAAACCATACATACACACACACACACGCGCGCACACACACACACACACACATATATATATATATATATTGTACATCATTTTCGATTTATATCATATCTTAATAAATTGAGATAAGTAACAGCATTGGGGTGTGGCAACTGGCAAGGGATGCATTAGGTGGATAGATATGTACTTTTACCTACGAAGTAGGAATTGTCTTAATCTTAATAGTTGAATTTTGTACAAGTTATCATGGTCTATTGAGCTAGAGGATACACGATATTGAAATTTGAGAGCAACTCATGAGTGATTTTGAGAAAACTTATAAGTAGAAATCTTTGAAATGATAAACACAACGTTTTTATTCTTTACGTGTAGTAATATAATTTTTTAAATAGGATAGGTTTGGAGTTACTTCATTAAATATATTTGAAAGGATGTTATGACATGTGATGATCCGATGAATGACTTCTCATCATGATCATTTACAATTTGACCTTCATGCTTTTTAGGTTTCACGTACTATTGTTTACCGCCAACATTGCTAGTATGACATTGTCATGCATTTTTTACTTGCTATGTGTTTCTTAAATCGTAAGATTTAGACTGTGCTTGAGAGAATGGTTAGACTACTGATTCACCGCTACGATCTCAAACACAATTAATTGAAAGGGTGATAGTAAAATCTTACCAGAATAATACGACTGAAGCAATTTAACTGCTTAGATCTCACTATAATTGTTTTAACTATTCAATCTTAATGTAACTAGGTTAATTATTCAATTTTACCTTAATTCGAGAATAATATTTAATCTAACTAACAAGGTTAGCATTATTGGGATTGCAAAAATTGTTTAGACATTAGGGGAGGAAACATGTGAATGGTGGGGGAATGTAAGGCTGGAATGTTGCTATATAATCATGAGTTTTGTCTTGGCATAAACATTATTGGTCTAAGCACCAATTTGCTTATTGTGTCTGTCATAGGATTATACACATCATTTTGCATAATATTCACACCTACCTCTTAATTCTACTTTTCATTTTTTGGCTTATTGCCCACACACCACTCAACCTAAGGTTTTTACTACTACTTGCATACACACCAACTAGTTATAATTGGATTTGATTTGGTTATACTTTATGTTATATTAAGAAGCTCAACTTATGAGTCAATATAGCATGAACATATATAAATAGTTGGAACAAATTTCAGTTTTGGTTCCCTGACTATTATATATGACTCACATATAATCATTGACTATTAAAATTTTCTAATTAGATGCCTGACTATGTAATTTGTATCACATTTGGTTATGCCATTCAATTTCTTGGTTAATTATTGCCGAAAGTGTTCATTCCAGAAAAAATAAATGCAGTGCTCTTTCCGAAAGAAGCAAATGCAGCTCTCCTTGTGTTTCAGTAAGTTGAGAAAGTAGTTACGAACAGATACTACATTGTAACATAATCAATAATACTAAAAAAGTCATTAAAACACTTCCATACGGTACAAGGCATTTTGTTTGTGATTTTCTTTTTAATTTTTTTTTAAAAACCTGGCAAATGTAGGAAGAAATAATTATTGTCACAAAAGGGTATAGACTACAAAATCACTAAATGACAATTACATACTACAATTTACTTGAATTAATTAAAGTTAGCACCAATAAAGCAAGGGATATGGTATATATATCTATATTACTATTACTATTACCAACAAGATTATATGACATAATCATCATTACCACTAAACCTGCCAGGTATTTGCAGGTAGATTACCAAACAAATTTTTTATTTTGATCCTCAAAATTTTCAACATTTCACAAAGAAAAGTCAACAATATGTCAAAATGAAAAGAAAGAAAGAAAAAAGATAAAACCATATTTAAGTATAATATTAATTTGATGGCTATGAATTTAGACATGTGTGACTGGTAGACTTTGAGAGTAGATTTGAGAGGAAATTTGAAACGATTCACGCAACTTTTATTTTTTCAGTTCAAATTTTTGTAATTGGAGCAATTTACACTCCAATCTCAAAAATTTCAACTCAATAGGTAAAGGTATAATGTGAATGGAATATTTACACTGCTTTACTTTCACCGTTATTACTTGTCTTTAACCACTTCGATTTTACCACTATCCTAAATACAGTCTTAAAGAATGGCCACACTTAATTAGTTGGGAAGAATAAAATAGAAGTGTTGAATATAGATGACGATTTTGATATTTATCAATTTTGTTAATTTAAAAATTTTGTTAAATGCATGGACGATTTTGGTGACTTTTTAAATTAAGGGATCACGTTTATCTGAGTTACGAGTCGTGTGTTCATAATTGATTACATCATATTTATTTTAAAAAGTATAAGTTGAGCAAATTTTAAAACAATTTTAACAACTGATTTCTAAAACCTAATAAAAAGCAAAAAAAAAAAAAATTAAATTTCTTTTATTTTCAATAAATTTTATAGCCAAAACTTCCCAATTTTATTTTTTATTTTTTATTATTATTTGTTAATAAACTCTAGCTAAACAGAATAAGCCTGTGGAAGAATATGAGAAGGATTGATTTGGGGCAAATTATTGTGTCCCGGTCCATACAGCTGTGTGAACCACAGTTTAAAATGATGTCGTTGAATTTTATAAGTTAGAATAATGTATATTATGAGTTAAAATAATATACATTATGCGTTAGAATCATGGTTGCAGTAGGCGATAGGCGCTAGTCGGGTGCCAGGGCAGCGCCTAGGCGGACTAGGCGGCGCCTAGGCGGAATCTAGGCGGCGCTAGGCGAGCGCCAAAAAAATAGTGGGATACTTGTAGTTTGACAATTTTAATGAGGCTGTTTCCAACATTCAATCAAATAACACATCCAAATAAATGAAATAATGATATTTTATAAGGCATAACATCAAAATAATATTAAAACATAAAAATACTCAAATATGAAATACTCAAATACTTTAATTATCCAAAGATTCAAATTATCAAACTAGTCTATGTACGGCTGGACTAGACGACATCGGTCAAAATCGGAAGAAATCGACCGACTTGGCCGAGTTGGCCGACTTTGACCGATTTCGCCTAGGCGGCCGGCCGATTTTTGGGCGCCTAGTAGTGAAAGTGGAACGGCCTAGGGGCGCCTAGCGCCTAGGCCGATTTTTACAATAGTGGTTAGAATAATGTACTTTATTTGTTAGAATAATGTATATGTATTAGAATAATGAAATTTCTGGGATAAGATAATGTACTTTATGAGTTATGAAATTGTATGTTGCAATGGATCGTGTGAAAAAAATTACGCGAAACGACGTCGTTTTAGACCGTGATCCACACAGCTCCACGGTCCACCAATAACTATCGATGGATTTGGGCCATGGGCTGAAGCACTTGATTTGGGTTATGGGCCTGAGAAATTTGATTTGTGCTATGGGCCGAAGCAACAAATGTGGGCCTTTGGGTCCATTGTGTACGTGGTTGCCTCAACATTTTAGACTGGACCAATTTGAGCTTCCAATACAATGGAAATGACTCATTATAACTAAGAAATATGATTTTTGTTATCCTTTAAAATGTCTCTCAATTTGGAAGGGGCTTTGCACAATAAAATTGGTAACTTGATTTTATTCTCTAAAGACATGCACAACTTTTACGTCCCACTTGCACCTCATTGTGTGCTTATATGACTCCAAAACATTGAGGAAGAACACAAGGCATGCTATTCCTCAATAACTAGTTATGGAACATTCCCAATACTTGTAGTTTTTGACCAATTTTTGTAAGTGTGACTATAAAATAGAAGATGGGAGGAAAGGGGAAAACGAAAAAAAAAAATAAAAAAAAAATAAAAAAGTAATGATTTACACGTCCAGTCGAACACACGCAGTGCCTGATTGGGTGCAAGATTTGCGCCTCACGCGAGGAAACTTTGCTTCTTCTTCTTATTTTTTTTTTTCCTTTTTTGGTGGGGCCCACATATCGAACAAAACCCAAGGCCCTTCACTAAAGACCAAACTTATTCTCTCTCCTCTACATAAGCATTGCCTCCTGAAAAATCACTCCAAAAACCACTATTGTGGTTAACCTAACAACTATTCATGAATAATCCATCATAACATTCACGAACCTCTTATCCCACACAATATTGACACCTTTGATGGCAACTTGCAAACTCCACATGAAAAGTAAATTACACTAAAAATATCTTGTGCGACAAAATCAACTGAGAATGTTTATAATAATCGAACTCGTGACTTTCTAGTACGAGAATTATGGGGTCTTTTTTTTTTTTTTTGGTAAGACTAGAATTATGTTTTACTCACTCGTTCATAGAATCTAGAACTATTATGTGTTGTTCATAGAGTCATTTTGGTAATAGTTTAGGCACTAATATAAGGATTACTTTCATTCTTCCCCTAAGGATTACTTTCATTGTTATAGAATAACTCAATACTAGAAGTATAATTGTCCTTTAATTAATTATAACAAATATAGACTTATCGATGCACAACAATTTGTATAGTAATGCACAAATTCTTATAAGACTAATTTACCCATAATTTATATTTTTTAATATTTTAAAGAAATTTGTTTCCTTAATCCTTGTGATTTGTTCTTTTTAATCTCAGTCATGCTTTATTTTGATTTAATGGTCTAAATTAATCTTTACGTCCTCATCTAAGGTTAGATCATTCTCACCATATATATATATATATATATATATATATATATATATATATATATATATATATATATATATATATATATATATATATATATATATATATCGCTGAGTACTGATGGGGACCAAATTTTGGGCCAGAACTCGTGAGAGTACTGGGAGTCTGGGACATTCATATGGTCAAATCAATTTATATATATAATCTCTGTCTTGTCACTTGTGTTGAAAAATAATTAACAATTCTATTTATATATTTAAATATTCAATAGAGTAATACCTAATATAATTTTAATAAAATTTACAGTCTTAATCAACACCATAAATGACCAGTTATTCAAATACGGTACAAAACTGTTTATACAAGAATATATATGTTATCCAAACAGTAACAGGGCGTTTGGTTGGAGGGGAGAATTATGTGGGAAGGGAATTGTAATTCCATGGGAGTTGAATTACTGGGAATAAAGTGAGAATTTAAATTCCAGTGTTTGGTTGACAGGTATAGAATTACTGGGAATTTCAATTCCAATGTTTGGTATATATGGGAATTGAAAGGGAATAAGTAGTATAAAGTCAAAAATGTCCATTATTGTTGTTGGACATTAATTTTAGGTTAAAAAAGGAAGGGGTAATTTTGACTCATCACTATCTTTTTTCCCAGGAATTAAAATACCAGGGGGGACATGGGATTTTAATTCCATGAAAATTGGGGAATTGCAATTCCCTCCAATCAAACTACAGAATTAATGGTCTTTGGAATTAGGTGGGAATTAAGTAGGAAGGAAATTTAAAATCCCTCCAACCAAACGCCCTGTAAGGGTACAAGCTAAACTGTTTATGATGGCCAGTATCTACAATCTATCTATCTACAATCTACAATTCTAATAAGAGCGAATAATGTTAGGCCCTTAACTGGAACAAAAAAAAATGCCGGTCCTATTGTTTCTTAAAATGAATGGTTCATATTATACTATTGTTTCTTAAAATGAATGGTTCATATTATTTTTATTTTAGTATTTTTTATTGATTTTTCTTATTTACCCTCTATTATATTATTTTCTTCCCTTAAATAACCTAAATTCCGTTAGCATAAACTTTAGTAACGGAATATTCCGTTAACTATTTATTATTTTAACTTGCACATTAATTTCTATAAGAAAAGTCTTAGTTTCGAACCACATCCCAATTAGAGTTGGCATAATTGTTAAACATATACTACGAATATGTTAAAATATATATAATATAAAATTTAACATAAACTTTGTTCAAATAATTAGTCTCACTAAATATATAAGATTCAAAGTTAAGCATCAAAGATTATAAATCAAGAACTTTAAAAATCATTTGATTTTTATGCATTTAAAAAAAAAAAAAACATATTTAGGTTAAGTTTTTTTTTTTTTTTTTTTTTTTTTTTTTTTTTTTTGTTTAATTAATCTTCTTTTGATTATTTAGATCAGAAAAAAAAATTAATATTTCAATTATACTTTTGCATTATTAGTATGATTTAGGTCGTTATGGTATTAATATTTTTTGTATGTATTTTTATAATGGTACAATTATTGTACATTACTTTACAAATATTATACTATTATTTTTTTATCAGACAAAATTGTTCTTACATCATTGTCAGGCCTGCGCGACCTAACTACAAAATTGTTGATCATAAATACAATTACAACTAGACTCTAAAACGGTAGGATAATTTTCTAACGAATGACAATGCTGACATCCCGCTGGCTCTAATTGAACAAGTTTAGACATCAGAATTTTATCAATGCATGAAAACTTATAAGAAAAAAATTGTAAGTTAATTTTTACTATATTATTATAACAATATCTATTGTAACTATATATTTTGAATTATTTATTATATCCTATATTGACAGGAATTGTATCAATTGTCATTGACACACTCTCAAAACAATTTGTCTCAACAACGAATGCAAATTTTAAAAAAAAAAAATCAATGATTGTGTTATTGTTGATGAAAAGTATGTACGCCACTTTATTACTCTTATTAAACTAAATAAAGTATTAGATACAACAAAAAAAAATACATATGCATTTAATTAATTTAGAATTAGATGTCTATATATAATGCCTTTATTTAAAAAAAAAAATTATTCATTATAAAAAATTTAAAAATAGATATAATTTTATTAGTTGTATTATCTTTATTTTTTACAATTCGAAGATTCATTACCTTCAAATTTATTAATTTATTATATTCACTGCATTGTCCATTGTCTTCTTTTTACATTATCTTGTAATTAAATATCAAAGTTATAATACAAAATACATTATATATATTTATTTACCAAGTATTTTATACAAATATAATAAATATTAATATTTTGTTCAATACTTTCACATGATAACTTATGACACACATCTCACAATGCATGAAACGTGTAGGGAAAACTACCACTACCAAATATCGATTAGAAAATTCAATATTATCTTGCATTTATATATTTTGAATTACCGATTTAAATAAACAAATTCAATATTTATTTACATATGCATGAACATCTCCGATATAATATTGCATTGATATACTTGAAATACTTATTTAAAAATAATCATTGGGCATTATTCCATTCGTGCAATGCGCGTAAAAAAATTAGTAATGACTATATGATTAGTACTCTTGTTCTTGCTTGAAGAACTGTAGCTTTCGAGAGGGGAGGAAATTCTTCGTTTGTAGCGATAATGTTTTGGTAGGTTGCATGTGCATGAGAAGAATAATAGGGTTTATCATGCTTGACTACCTTTTCATTCTTGCCAACTCTTTGTGGAGTTGATGATTCTTTAAATTGAAGGGGACGAAGAACAATAGGTTGAATTTTCATAAGCTCTGGGTCAGGTTTGTAGTTGTAAGGCAATTTGCTTTCATCCATCATTCTAAAAGTAATGGAAATTCTGCAATAAGAGAAGTAAGAAGAAAGATTAGTACCTCATAGGCAAAAGAATATAATATAAGAAGAATGCTGAATTGATCTTAATTTATTAATGTCATTTAATGATTTACGTACCTTTTAGATGGAACACGAGGTACACAATGCTTTGCAACATCAGCTCCATTACCTTGTAAAACAAGCACCGATCTGCATTATAATAATTCAAAGTACAGTTAAGAGACTTCTATTTTCATGATTTCCACATTTTCGGTCTCATTATATATGAATTAGATAGATCAAAGATATTGAATAACATACCCGACTGGTAGAGGTACCGAGATTGGACTGAAAAATTCTCCAATGCCATGATTAAGAATCTTCAAACTCGAGCCAAAAATAATATTGCATTCTGATAGAAACGATACAGAGCAAAACGGTCGAATAAAGTCGTGATGGTCGATATGAGGAGGAATGCAGTCACCCTCATTGTAAATGTTCACAATGCAGCTATTAGGGATACATGTTGGAGGCAAAATATGCCATTTGACCATCCGCTTAATCATTTGTTTGAATAAAGCAGGCAATGGATCCACTTCTTCATCTCTTATTATCCCAGGAGGATTGCCATTTTTGTCCTATCACAAAACCATAATAATATAGAGTATACGATAAGCTACTCAAAAAAGAAAAGGTAATAAGGAATATGAATATAATATCAAGTATTTTTACCACTGCATAATTATAACAACCACCAAATTGAATAATTGTACGCCCTTTGCGCCCCATCCACTTCTTTGGTTCATAATATGTTCTTGCTGCAAATTAAAGAGTTAAACACATAAGTAAGATATAATCATTGATTCCCATTTTCATAATATCTAATGGACTATTAACATTGCTTATATATATATATACCTTTAAGCTGCCCTTTCCGACCCAATTGTTGATACTTGTACACACATTCAACAATCTTCATTTGCTCTTTTGCGTCGAAAATTTCAGTATGTAATTCAACACCTTCAACCACGTTTATCTCTTTCCCATCCACTCTCTCGTAGTGAACAAAATCCTTCTTACTCTTCACTTGTGCGAATCTCATATGTTCTATCTTCTCCTCATCCGAGAACGTTGGGGCCTGTTTCCGATTTACTGGTGCCGGCGACGACGCATCGGAAACAAACTTTTTCAACGGATTCCGGTAGGTAGGTGCAATTATGGGTGCATGCAGCACAGTAGTTTTCTCATAGGGACAAGAAAATGATATCTCACCGAATTGAACTACAAAAAATGATTTACACGTCCAGTCGAACGCACGCAGTGCCTGATTGGGTGCAAGATTTGCGCCTCACGCGAGGAAACTTTGCTTCTTCTGCTTATTTTTTTTTTTCCTTTTTTTGGTAGGATCCACATAAGGAACAAAAACCAAGGTCCTCCACTAAAGACCAAACTGATTCTCTCTCCTCTACATAAGCATCGCCTCCTGAAAAACCACTCAAAAAACCACTGATGGGGTGAGGACCCCGGCCCAAGAAGGAAGGCCCAAGAGAAGAGGCCCAGAATGGGTAAGAAGCGGCCTAGAAAGCGAGAAAATGAGTCAGTGGTAAGGTCCGGTATGGGCTTGGGCCGAGTCCAGAAGTCGGCCCAGGCCCCGGCTAAGGAAAAGACTCGGCTTAGAGCCGTTGAGAAGCATTCATTGCAGCATTCAAAGGGCTCGGCCAAGCGAACCGTTAGGGAAGCCCAAGGAGCCGTTGGGCGACCCGGTAACGGCACCCAACGGCCCCAAGGTATAATTAGCCTTGGCAGTCTTCGATGTACATTAACTCGGCGGAGAGATGAGTTTACTATATAAAGGCCCCTTCACCCTTATAAACGGGGCGAGTCCATGCCAAGAGAATAAAGAAACACGTTCACTACAACTACTTACTTTTATTCTATTTTTAGCAGCTTTGTTGAAAGGTGTATCTACCAACTAAGGTTGTGTTGGACCTCCTGGGCCCAAACAACCCTAAAACGAACAACCACTATTGTGGTTAACCTAACAACTATTCATGAATAATCCATCATAACATTCACGAACCTCTTATCCCACACAATATTGACACCTTTGATGGCAACTTACAAACTCCACATGAGAAGTAAATTACACTAAAAATATCTTGTGCGACAAAATCAAGAATTAGAACAAGAATTATGTTTTTTTTTCTTTTTTGGTAAGACGAGAATTATGTTTTACTCACTCGTTCATAGAATCTAGAAGTATTATGTGTTGATCATAGAGTCATTTTGGTAATAGTTTAGGCACTAATATAAGGATTACTTTCATTCTTCCCAAACATAAGGATTACTTTCATTGTTATTGAATAACTCAATACTAGAAGTATAATTGTCCTTCAATTAATTATAACAAATATAGACTTATTCGATGCACAACACTCTGTATAGAAATGCACAACAATTTGTATAGTAATGCACAAATTCTTATAAGACTAATTTACCCACAAATTTATACTTTTTAATATTTTAAAGTGATTTGTTTCCTTAATCCGTGTGATTTATTCCTTTTAATCTCAGCCATGCTTTATTTTGATTTAATAGTCTAGATTAATCCTCACGTCATCATCTAAGGTTATGTCCTCACTTGATTCTCACCATATATATATATAGAGAGAGATTTTGGATCCGGTGCACACCCCCTTGGCAGATGAGCTCGTGAGCACCTTTTCTGACCCTTAATTAGTTTAGATGAATGGTCCAGATGAATTGGGCTTTTTTGCCACGTGCATCAGACTTAAGAATACATTAGGGATTGTTTTGTAATTTTCGCAATTACTATAATTATAACGTGTAATTAATTTTGCCTCGAAAATCTGCGTAGCTTCTGACCCTTCTCCGTGCCTTCTCCATCACAACTCTCCCTCTCCATCACAACTCTTATGCGTCTTTCTCCATCTCCATCACAACTCTCGCTCTCCATCACTGTCTTCCTCTCCATCACAACTCAGGCGTTCAACATGGTTGGGTCTACTGTCCGCCGATCGAAGATGCAACGGAGGTCAAACAGTGTTTCCATTGAAGGTAATCTCAATCCCCCCTTTTTTTTGCTATTGTTTTTTTCTCAATCCCCGTTTCGGGGGGGGGGGGGGTTGTGTGTTCCTTCTGTGGGAGTTTGGTGTCTGGACCGCCGGCTCTGGGAGGTGGGATGGGAGGGGGAACTAGGGAGGCGGGCTGGGAGGGGGAACTGGGTAGGTACAGTTTAGGGTTTGTGTTATTATTTAGGTTTTTTTTTTTTTTTTGTTTTGTTTTGTTTTTTTTTTCTTTTTTTGGGTCCCTGGGAGGCGGGGACTGAGGGAGGGGACTGGGTAATTATGGGTTAGGGTTTGGGTTATGATTCATGTTTTTTTTTTGGTTAATCATATGTGTATTCTAACAATGGAGTTTTGGGGGGTTTTGGGGATGCATGTCTGTGGTGGTGTTGATTTTTCGGCGGAAACGTGTTATCCGCCGACCATTTTTTTTTTTTTTTTTTTTTTATCAACACCAATATGAATTGTCAATTTTTGTTGTTTGAAATGCATACTTTTTCATTTGTTTTGTTGTCCCATTATGTATATGATCAAACAAGAGATATTCAGTTAGACCGAAAGAATATACACCTCAATCTAATATTACTTGCAGACAGATAATGCTGCGGCACCTAAAGTAGGAAAAATTAGCATATATAAATTGGTATTTAAAGTGATCCCCAGAATAAGAAATGTGAGTTGAATTAGTAATTCCTTGGAGTGTGGTCTAGTGTGAAGTTTGGGGTGCAAAATTATTAATAGTATTGGGGGCAATATGAGTTAGTGAGTTGCTGTTCAACTTATTTTAGTTTTTTAATGCAAATGCATGTCTTTTGTTTGTGGAAATGAGGTGGAAGCATGCTTCTTTAGTCATCTAAATTCATTTCTTACTTCTATCAATTCTTCTCTCTTATCCTTACAGAGAGGGATACAATATGGTACTATGTATGTGTCACTATGCTAGTGCATTTCGTGTATATAGTATGTGCATCGTAGGTATATAATATCTGCGTCCAGTGTAGTCGGTGTATAATGTTGAGTAGTATGTGCATATAGATGTTCTGGTAGCTGCGTTATACATGTTCATACATAATTATGTAGATTTATTATTGTGGTTTTTAAATTTTATTTTTTTTGCATTTTAATTCTTCAGTGCTTTGTTTGTAGTTTAATGCAGTGTCATACACATGTTTTTCAAATAAAGAATATATTAGGGATGTGTCACAGTGAGTATGTGCGAAGAAGTGTCTATGCGAGTGCATTTCGTGTTTAGCCTTAATTGTTTTCATTGTTTCCATGTTAATAGCTTTTCCATGCATATTTTGTGCATTTAGATGTTATGGTATGTGCATAGCAGTATGTTCCTTTGTGCAGGTAAAGTGTAATGTACAAGCTAATTGGCACTAGTTTTTTTAACGGGGGTTTTTCATTTTGGTTGGTGCGCGTCTGGTATTCGGTCGTTGCGTGCTTTTTAATTTATTTATTATTTCTTAGGGGTTCGGGGGGGTCGCGGCTATTGATGGTGGTTTGTGCGTTTGTGTCTGTGACCGTGTGCAAGTTAGATTTAAAGTGTGGTTGGGAAATTGCTACTGCTTATTTTGTTGTTGTTTTTTTTTTCTTTTTTAGGGGGGTGCACCACTGTTTTTGGGTTGGTGCGTATTTTTTGTTTATTGGTCGAGGTTTTTGGGGTTTGCCTTGTTAGTTGTGGTGGTTTGTGCGTAGCAGTGTCTTACCATTTGCAAGATAGGGTGTGGCTTAGTTGCTAATTGGCACTATTATTTATATTTTCTTGTATTTTTTATTTAGGTTGGTGCGTTTCTGTTGTTGGGTCGGTGCGCCTTCATTTACTTATTTTTTGCTGAGCCGGTAGGTGCTGCCAATGTGGTTGATCCTTTGCCTCAGGCTGAGGTTGCTACTGTTTTTGGTGAACCCGCACAACCAGCCCCGGATTTGGATGTTGTGCCGGATGAGGTTGATGAAGTTTTATTCCCCCCTTTCAAGTGCCGGATGAGGTTGATGAAGTTATGACATATCAGCATCATGATAATTTTCGCCATCCATATTGTAAAATACACATTATTTCTTTATGGCCTCACTCTGAGTCATGACTTGTTGTACGCCTTCTCTAAATTGCTTGGGTGTCAATTTCATTTTTACTTTTTAAAAATTCCAGTCCGTGTTATGTGTATGGTGTAAAAATGCATGTTACGAATGCTAATCACTACGCACATGTTGTATAAGCTTTCACGCATGGATGAGTCGCATGACGGTAAGCCTATATTAGTAACGGTCCTATTGGTAATATGCACATACCAATACACGACTACGCACGTCAAAACCAGGAAGATGCACAAACATAAAGGTGTTTATGCACTGACTGGGACACAGTTTATTTTGACTATTAGGTAGTACGCCGTACGGACGGGCCAATGTATCTTTACGCTTAGGCCGTTGGATAGACGGGTATCGAACACCCCCCACCCTCGTTAAATTTTCAAACGTTTTACAAAACCATTGAATTTGCATAGACGCAAAAGTGTATATGCACTTACCGGACCAACCCAAAGAAAAGACAAAAACCCAGACACCTCCTACCTTGCCTATTAGGTAGGACAGTGTACGCACAGGCAGGTGTCCCTTTACGCTGCCGAAGTCGCTCAGTTAATAACCATTCGAAATAACCAGGAAGATGCACAGACATAAAGGTGTTTATGCACTGACTGGTACAACCAAAAAAAAAAAAAAAAACAAACAAAGCCACGGACACAATTTATTTTGTCTATTAGGTAGTACGCCGTACGGACGGGCCAATGTATCTTTACGATTAGGTCGTTGGATAGACGGGTATCGAACACCCCCCACCCTCGTTAAGTTTTCAAACGTTTTACAAAACCATTGAATTTGCACAGACGTAAAACTGTATATGCACTTACCGGAACAACCCAAAGAAAAGACAAAAACACAGACACCTTCTAACTTGCCTATTAGGTAGGACGGTGTACGCACAGGCAGGTGTCCCTTTACGCTGCCGATTTTTTATAGTCAGCTATCGCCCACCACCCAACCTGGTTCAGTTCTTAACCATTTCGGAAAAACAATGGAAATGCACAGACTTAGAGGTGTATACGCACTTAACGGTAATGTTAATATCCATTTGCTGAAAGTCCTAAACTGTTGCTCCTGCCATCAACCGCGAAGCCTTCACATATCTACCATTGTTAACGCTAATTAATTCCTTTAATCTTTTTAATATTAGAATCTTTTAATTTCTATCCTCAAAAGCATCAAAAAATGCTTCATATTCCATTAAAATTATGTCCTTAAATAAATTAGACTTACAATTACTAATATAACCTTAACATTGATAATAACTGACATTATTTCTTTTAATCTCAACCATAGATGGGAATTCAATGAATGGGTATTAGTGGGCCTCATGGTCTCATCTATTAGAGGGGGTGCACCAGATCCAAAGCCTATATATATATATATATATATATATATATATATATATATATATATATATATATATATATATATATATATATATATATATATAATTTTAATAAAATTTACAGTGTTAATCAACACCGTAAATGACCAGTTATTTAAATACGATACAAAACTGTTTATACAAAAATACATATGTTATCCAAACAGTAAGGGTACAAACTGAACTACTTATGATGGCCAATATAATGACTATATGATTAGTACTCTTGTTCTTGCTGGAAGAACTGAAGCTTTCGAGAGGGGAGGAAATTCTTCGTTTGCAGCGATAATGTTTTGGTAGGTTGCATGTGCATTAGAAGAATAATAGGGTTTATCATGCTTGACTACCTTTTCATTCTTGTCAACTCTTTGTGGAGTTGATGATTCTTTAAATTGAAGGGGACGAAGAACAATAGGTTGAATTCTCATAAGCTCTGGGTCAGGTTTGTAGTTGTAAGGCAATTTGCTTTCATCCATCCTTCTAAAAGTAATGGAAATTCTGCAATAAGAGAAGTAAGAAGAAAGATTAGTACCTCATAGGCAAAAGAATATAATGGCCCTGTTTGGTAAAATGGCTGTTAGCTGATAGCTGATTGTGTTAATTAAAAGGTATAAATAGTTGATAACATTAGATGATTGTAGAAAAGTGTTTGGTAAATTAGCTGTTAGCTGATAGCTGTTTGGTATAATTTCTTTTCTCAAAAAGCTAATGGAAAAAGTTGCTTGGAGTAGCTTTTTGAATTTTAGCCTTTTGGAGTTGCAAAAAGCTAATTAACCAAACATTTCTATTGATATTTTAACTAAATCAAACAATTAATAATGATCAAATAAGCCAAAATTAGCCCATAGGCCAATTTTTTTACCAAACAGGGCCAATATAAGAAGAATGCTGAAGTGATCTTAATTTATTAATGGCATTTAATGATTTACCTTTTAGATGGAACACGAGGTACACAATGCTTTGCAACATCAGCTCCATTACCTTGTAAAACAAGCACCGATCTGCATTATAATAATTCAAAGTACAGTTAAGAGACTTCTATTTTCATGATTTCCACATTTTCGGTCTCATTATATATGAATTAGATAGATCAAAGATATTGAATAACATACCCGACTGGTAGAGGTACCGAGATTGGACTGAAAAATTCTCCAATGCCATGATTAAGAATCTTCAAACTCGAGCCAAAAATAATATTGCATTCTGATAGAAACGATACAGAGCAAAACGGTCGAATAAAGTCGTGATGGTCGATATGAGGAGGAATGCAGTCACCCTCATTGTAAATGTTCACAATGCAGCTATTAGGGATACATGTTGGAGGCAAAATATGCCATTTGACCATCCGCTTAATCATTTGTTTGAATAAAGCAGGCAATGGATCCACTTCTTCATCTCTTATTATCCCAGGAGGATTGCCATTTTTGAACTACAAAAAAATTTCAAAAAAAAAAAAAAATGTTAACACACTCGAAAAGAAAAATAGCCATGAAACTAAAGCAACCATGAATTTGAATAAGGATATTAAAATTTAAATACGGTCAGAGAGTGGCTAATGCTACCCTTGAAATGTAGAAACAGAATAATAAAATAGGAAGAAATTTATTAATATATAAAACTTGGAAATTTTATTAACATAAAAATATGTATTTATATGCTTATTGCATACATGATCATTATAATTCATATATTTCTGGTGTGTGCGGTTGATGTGATCTAAAAGATCCAAGCTCTATTGAGAAATTTGGTGGTGACTATATCCAAAACGAATTAGGTCATGTTCCTTAAAACTTAAATAGTTAGGGTCCGACGGATGACTAATGATATCAACCTTAAAAGACAAAGAAAAGAATAATAAAATAAATTAATATAAAATTTTCTCTTATATGATTAGTCTAATCATAATGTATAATAATGAAAAGCCTGTATTTATAGGCTTATTATGATAACAACTAAATTTAAAAATATTGTAAAAATTCAACAAACTAAATGAAATAGAGCATATAGATGCGAAAAGCAGATTAACATAAAATATGCCCGCATAACTATGAATCTAAATAAGGATATTAAAATTTAAATATGGAATGGTGGCTAAGAGCATCCTTATTAGTTGAGATTATTTCTCAGTTATGGGGTCTCAGCATCCACCTCATCCTCCACCATCTCATTCAATCACAAAAAAACTTTCTCTACATCAGTTTTGAGTTATTTCTCAATTTTTTATGCACCCACTATTTAACCCACTATATTTTAATTACTTTTCTTACCTACTGGGCCCACAAATATGTCATACTTTACATGAGAAATATTTTTGAAATAACTCCTCCCCACATCAACTATTAACTTTGGGTGAAAAGAATTCATGTAGAAATAACTCCTAAATAACTACTAGTGTGGATGCTCTAATGCTAGCTACCACTTGAAAGACAGAAATAGAATAATAAAATAGGAAACAAATTAATATAAAACTTAAAAATTTTATTAACATAAAAATCTGTATTTTATAGGCTTATTATGATGATAATAACAATAAATCATAAAAATCATTTGTAAGAAAAGAAACTAAAATATTTTTACTTACTGTTTAGCTTCTCCATGAGAGTTTTGATAGGAAATCTAACGAAGTGAATACCGAGTTGGGAAGTAGTAAGTGAGGAAGCAATAATCTTAATTGGATGGGAATTTATATATAAGAGAGAAATTGATGTTAACTTAAACCTGTTGAAAATAGAATTACTGAATTAGGAAAAAGCTGGACTCAATCTTGATATGAATAGGAAAAAGTGATAGTTGGGGCCAAATTTAGAAAATATAGTCGTTATGGACACAGCAGTAGGGTAATCTAGTGACGTATGTATACATCGGCTTAAATATTTTTATTATTATAAAATATACGGCGTAAAAATGAACTTTGTGTCCGTATTCGAATTAAAAATCTGTATTTAACTATTTATTATGGAGTGTTTGATATTAAGGAAAATTATCAATTTGGTCCCTCAATTGTTTCTCAACTGTTAATGTAGTTCATAATTTTCAATTTCAATCAATTTGATCATTGAATTGTTTTAAATTTAATCAATTAAGCCCTTAAAGGTATCAATTGACGAAATTTTAAAAGTGTGGAAATCACCATTTTGATTCCTGGAAGGGTTTTATTGACGAAATTTTAACAATTTGATACTCAATTGTTTGGAATTGAAAACTATGAACTACGTTGACATTTAAATTTTGGTTTTTTAAATATTAATAGTGAGATTTTCATACACACCTACATATTTATTTATTTATTTTTTGGTATATCTAACAATATTTATGGTTATACTTCTTTTAAGTGTTTTTTTTTAATTATCTCTTTTGTTTTAATATTTCGCCTGGATTCACGCACTGCCTGTGGGATGATTTTCAAGTTATTGGGTGACCAATTCGGGCACAAAGTGAAAATTTTCACCTTCAATACCCTTGTGGAATTACTAATTAAACCGTGGGTCCTATGTAATTCAATAATTTTGACTTTGTGGCATTCATGAACAGATGAATTTGATTGTGTGAAGCGCTAAACAAACAGCAACGGCTCGATTCTCCAGAAGACGAAGACTGGGGCCCCGAATTTAGCATCCGGGGAGAACCCAGAATGCCAGCCTGTCCTACCGACGGCCACACTGCAACGTGTTTTTCCACCGCACAGCTGACAGCACAAACTCACATAGCCGCACCTGTGAAAAGCAAAGCAAAGCAAAGCGGAGATCCACCGAAATCCCTCTTTTCAGCTCTCCAATCTTCCAAAGCTGTGTTTTTTTTTTTTTCCCCCAAGAAAATAGCTGACTGGGGTGGAGGAGAGCTGAAAGCCTGAAACTTGCAGCCCAGGTGTTTGTTTTATTGCCAATGCCAGCCTTTTCAGTACCCAATTCTTGCTTATTTCGTTTCGCTGTGGTTCTGTGCTTCGCTGCTCTGGGTTTAGCTGGAGACCCTTATGTCTTCTATGACTTGACTGTCTCCTACCTCACTGCTTCCCCTCTTGGTGTCAAGCAAAAGGTTCTTCCTTTTTTAATTTTTTGTTTTTGTTATCAGATCTTGAATTGAACTTGTCTTAACTAGAAGAATGGTGCTTCGGTTCTGTTTGTGTCTGCTTATGATCATTGAGATTAGGAATCAAATTGAACTGCCCGCACGGCAGCTCAGTTGATTCTTGAATTTTTGATTATGGACAAGAACATAGGGTGTGGGGACTTTTATTAACACTGCAGCTATGATTTTCATTATTAAATGCTTTGCATTGTCCATAATTCTATTGCATTAAGCATTTCTTAGACATTCTCTTTTATGTGGTGAAATTTGATTGAACTTTTGTGATGCTATCAGATGATGTTCTTAAAAGTTTAAATCTTTTAGGTGATTGGAGTAAATGGGCAGTTTCCTGGGCCCATTCTAAATGTCACTACCAACTGGAATGTTGTTGCAAATGTCAAAAATGATCTTGATGAGCCTTTGCTTATTACATGGTATACCAAACTGATTTCAAATAATATAGGTTGTTATAATTTAGACATGATGCTGATAGGCATAACTCGTCTGAATCGGATGTAGGAATGGTATCCAACATAGAAAGAATTCTTGGCAAGATGGCGTCTCTGGCACGAATTGTCCCATTCCTGCTGGATGGAATTGGACGTATCAGTTTCAAGTCAAGGACCAGATAGGAAGTTTCTTCTACTTTCCTTCATTGGGTTTTCAGAGAGCAGCTGGTGGTTATGGAGGAATCACAATAAACAACCGAGATATTATCCCCTTACCATTTGGGTTTCCAGATGGAGATATTACCTTGTTTATTAGCGATTGGTACATTAAAAGTCATAAGGTTTGTAGAAATAGTGAAGTACGCAATGCCTATTGTTTTGAATCGGCAGTCTTCTCTCCTTGTGCACTTACATGTCATTTTATATGGATCGACATGTGTAACAGGAAATGAGAGAAGATCTTGAAAACGGTGTTGGACTTGGATCACCTGATGGTGTTCTTTTTAATGGATTAGGTCCATACCGCTATGATAATGGATTGATACCCGATGGTATTCCTTATTCAATTGTCACAGTTGATCCAGGTAAGCTTGCGTTCTGCATTCATATAAGGGACCTTCTCTAGAGAATTATTTGACCTTTTTATTGTCACCTCTATGGCTCTATGCATGTTCTAAATAATAGGATTCTAATACTGCTGGCAGCTAGAGAATGTTGCTCGTCTGAAATTTTTGTTCGGTATGTGAGAAATATTTTCTTGTGGCTATTTCAGGTAAAACATACCGCCTGCGGGTACACAATGTCGGGACATCTACCAGTCTGAATTTCAGAATCCAAAATCATAATTTGCTTCTTGTTGAAACTGAGGGTTCATACACAGTGCAACAGAACTATACAAGTATGGATATCCACGTGGGTCAATCATACTCATTTTTGGTCACAATGGATCAAAATGCCAGCAGTGATTATTACATTGTTGCCAGTCCACGCTTTGTAAATTCATCTGATTGGACAAAGGCTGTGGGAGTTGCTGTATTACACTACACAAATTCACAAGGACCTGTTGCAGGTCCTCTTCCAGACCTTCCTAATGAAAATGACAAGTTTTTCTCAATGAGTCAAGCAAAATCCGTAAGGTTGTAGACAATCATAATTGCTGTCGAGTAATTATTAGAAATCTCCTATAATGTATATGCATCGGTGCCCCTTGTCCAACCCAACAGGGTAGCTCAAGTGGCAAATGAGCTCTCTTTGTGGGGAGAATTCCGGGATAACCCAGGTTCGATTCCCACAAGTGACGATCCCCTTTGGGCCAGCTTCTGTGCCTCTCGGAGCAAACCGGGTGGACCTGGGCCGTTAAACGGACAGAGAAGGACCCAAACCACAATGTGCCACTTGTCCTATTTTTAAATGGAAAATGCACCTTTGAACTTGTTGGTGGTGCGTTAACCATCCAAACTTACAAGAGTAATTGTATGTTCAGTTGCTGAAAGGTGCCGGTTAGGGAGGTTAAAAAACTTATAAAATAAGACGTCGTATATATTAGACTATGATTTCTAGGGTAGGCCCTTTCTTTATCTTGCTTTGTCTTGATATCAGGTTATGGATTGTATTTACATT